TTAAGGGGACTAGCAATGAACTCGAGTTTCTGGCATACATTTTGAGTAATGCAAATGTTTTGGAAAAGCTTCGGTTACATGTTCATATCGAGGAAAAATTTGATCTCAAGGATGTACTGCAAAAGGCATATGCAGTGTGGAAAGAATGTCAGTTTTATAAGGCAGTGTTCGAGCTTCCAAGGAGCTCCTCAACTTGCGAAGTTGTGGTTTCAGGAAGATCTGTATCTGCATCAGGTAATGCCTTGCAAAATAAATACCTTACCTGTCAAATGTACATGGGTCCATAGACTTGATATATGCAACTTCTTGATTTCCTGAATGACAACATATAAGCATATTGGATTATTGGCTGAAGGTATTGACTGAAGGTATTGACTACTCAGTTTGTCTTGATTTTATAGTTTGGTAACTTTGGTTTGCATTAACCATGCCTCTTGAAATGCTAGATTTTGTTACAAAGGTATATTGTGCTGCAATGTATTTGTTTTCTGGTTTATTCGAAATTTTAACTTATACTATTACTCGGAATAATGGTGATTACAAAATCCTAGTCCTTTCACTTCTCTATATGAATATTATGAATCTCTCGGCATATTATTTGGAAGTAGTTTAAATATCTTAAATTAGCTTGTGTAAGTGTTATGAACTCTGAAGGACGTCTATGAACATATAAACGCAAAGAAAAAGGTGTAATGAGAATGTAAAAGCACTATGGCAATTAATTATTGGATGGAGATGCTTGAGTTCTCATGAAAGATCTATAAAACATGCCAAGTGAACAGTTTGCCTTCTGTCATGTAATTAAAGGAGGAAAAAATCAATAAAGCTAATTGAGCTTGTGTTCACATTCAATTATGACTTTGCTTGTCGTTTTATTTTGCTGTGAAGTTTGAAGGACCTTTATAAAGGTGAGGAAAGAAAAAGAGTAAGTTGAGTGCAAAGCTTCCTCTTATAATAGTTTGGTGGTTTAGAACCTTTAGATCCTTGAATTTTCTTCATATCTTATGCTTTAGTTGTTTGATAAAATTGTAGACTAGCTTAGAACATCTCTTTTCTTGCAATTCTGACTCTTTCCATCAGTAAAAATCACACTTCTAAGTCTTTCTCTTTTCTTTTCTCTTCTCTGATTTATTATGGTTAACCTTGATTATATATTGTATATTGTTCTACAGAATCTATACAGTTGATGTCTAGAACTTAATGGGTTTACCAATGACAAGTTCAGTACCATATAGCCACATCTGAAATTTGCTATTCATAAATTGTATATTTGAGTCAAGGATGAAAACAGTAGCAATCATCTGATTTCAGAGGGCGTTGTCGTTTCGTCTACTCTTACAACTAGTCCAGAATAGAACTTAGAGTTGATGGGTGACTGGTAGAAACAAAAATAAGCCTATTTTACGCCATAGATTGTCTTTTAACACTGGAGTGTAACTTATGTCTTATTGATAAGGTTAGAAATCGTTTTGCAGAAAATGAAATGAAACTAACTCAATCTGTTTTTACATGAACCTCTTGGTGTTAAAATGATGCATAAGAAAATAAGTTTATTGATTGTTGCTTAAACTCATAGAAGTTGTAGCAATATTACTGCAGATATTAATTTTCTGATGCAACAGTTTACTGGCCTGGGGATTTTTTTGTAGGCTTACTAACCTGGTAAACTTATACTTTACGGCACAACACAGCCTTTCTTTGCACTTCCTAAACCTCTCATAAGCAGGTTGCAATTCCTGTTTTTATGTATATTAAAGCCAATCCAGCACAAGGTCTTCTCTTAAACAAAAGTAGTACTTTTAACTTTTAAATTAGATGAAGGCTTTCTGAAAGTTAGTCGTTTTTTTTTATTACTGTTGGGAGATCAATTGATGAGAATATGAGATGGTGACAATGGAGCTTTGGCATGGCTTTCCAGGTTGTAGGGTGAATTGACAGTGCCTAAAATTACTCCAATTCATTTAATTGTGATACTTAAGCTGCTTTTACATTGCTAAAAGTCCAGTTTCTCCTTTGCATGTTATCTTATTAATGAGGCTAGAATGCAATTCAATTGCACAATTAAAAATCTTGTAAATTAAAACTATCCTGATTAAGCTGATTGTGCCTGTTTATATGTTTGATTAAATTTAATTTTTCTACTAATTAGTTAAATTGGCATAGATATCAAGGATGTAGCTCAAAACGCCGACAGGGTTAGGGGAGCGAGGGTTGAGGCAGAGAAAGAATAATATCTTCTGAGGAAAGGGGTATCAGGGTATTAACTAGGAAGGGGAAGGTGGAAATTAGAAAAATAGCTTCTGGTAGTTGATCATCAGAAGATTTGACGTAGCTAAGTTGTTATCATCTATTCATCTAATCATCAACCTGTAATCCTGTTATAAATGTATACAAGTAACTAATGAGAGCAGGGTTCTCAGATAGTGGCTCGTTTAAAAATCGAGATAAAAGATAACAGAAAAACAAAGGTAAAGGATCAAAGTGACAGAACTTGCTACTTTTCTTGTTTGTATGGAGTTTGGATTTTTTATAAAGATTTTTGAGAAAAGGTGGGGATGAGGGTTTTTTTTGTAACATGTACTCCGAAGAGGGTGCAGAAGCTATATGTATTGACGATGGTGGTTAGGGAAAGCTCTGATTCCCTTTTTGTTCAGACTGCTGCGCTCTGATCTTATTCAACAGAGTTTTGCGCTCATCTGAGTACTGGCAAGTGAAAGCCTTTTGTTTTGTGCACGAACTTGCAAACAAGTGCTTCAAACTAAAATAAAGGTACCAATACTCACATATGACCATAATCTTTTGTCAATTTACCACGAACCTGAACATCACTGTCTGTCTAATATCCAATCAGAGATGAAAATTGTGAGGATTTCTAGGACTCTAGTAATTAGAGTCGTACATGACTTTAATAACCCACGTTGGTATTTCACATAATACCAACAACAAATTATATCGATACCAACAAAACATTTTTGCATTCGTTGGTATTACTGAATAAGGTTGTTGGTATCATGATGATACCATCTATAATATAATGAAATACCAACATGTGTTATGATATTTTTTTTTCCAAGTGCTGTTTCAGTGAATAGACGAATATGTCCTTATTAGAGTCATATATGACTCTAATTATACGAGTCCTAGAAATCCTCGGAATTGTTACCAAATAGTTTCAGTTATTGAAATTTTTGTCTTGACCAGTGCTAAAAGTTTTTTAGACTAAGCTGAGTTCAAGATGTCATGTTACTTGAACCACCAGTAATGCTACCTGAAATGTCTACCCTGTTAGCAAATCCACGTCTTTGATTGTGGCGCTGCAGTGTTTGCAGCGAGTTTGAAGCTGATCTTCAGTGTTTGCATTATGCCCTGTTGATGCTCTCTAGACCGTCATCTGTAACTTGCTGTCCTCTGCTGGTTCGAGTACCTCTATTTAGATTATAACCTCACTTTTTGTTGCTTTGTTTAACTTGGTGTCTTATTATAACTCATTGTTTCTGCAACAATATTCGTGGCAGAGTCAGACACTCGACTACTGTGTTATTCATGTTGCACCAAAATTTGTACTGTTTGTTTGACTATTGCTGGAATGCAGTTACACAATTTGTAGGAGCATGAATTATATACAAATTACAAAGTATAGTTAGCTAAAATTAACATAAGATGGTGAAGAGTATCATGATATTCGTGCAGCGAATTGCACAAAATCATTAACTCCTTATACGGTGTGTTTACTTGTTTAGGCACCATAGAGTACATTATTCAATTTTATGTGTTCTTTTTGTCGATCTCATATGAATTATATACGGACTTTGATTTGCATTAATACGAAGCTAATATTAAAACACTACTAATAAGATCCTTGCAAGAATGTATTTTTTTTTACTTCTAGTAAGATCACTAACATTAGTTAAAGTGGAGTATGTGAAACTGTGAATAGTGTAAAAAGTTAAATTATGACAGTTGTATTGAAACAAAGGGATTTAGTTAAAAAGTTTAATCATAACAATTATTCTAGAATGAATATAATGACTAATTTAAGGGGGTGTTTGGCACAATGTTAGATATGAAATAGAAAATAAACAAATAAGAATGGAGAAAGTAATCATTGAACACTTACCTTTTCATTTGTTTTAGTTTAAACTTTAAACATGGGAATAAATCATTTAAAATTAATATTCTTTTGTTTTGTTCAAGGAGAGTAAGGCCTTGTTTAGTTCACCTTATTTTTTTTACTTATTTCAGAAAAAATAAGTTCATATCAGATCTGAAAAAATAAGTTTAGATCAGATCAGAACATCGTTTTATGTGTGGTTTTTTATCGCTAAATATTCTTAATAATTCATAATGAAAAAAATTGTGAAAATTACATATTAATAAACTACACATTATTACGAATCTAATAAGATCTCACTTGATATATTTTTTCCTTATAAATTATCGTACACTTAAGGTCAAAGTTTGATCAAATCAGACAATCAGATCAGACCAGATCAGATCAGATCAGCAGAAATAAGGTGAACCAAACAAGGCCTAAAAGTATTTGGTACTTTAGGTTTTTTAAAATATACTTGTAACATATAAGTGAAAACTATTGCACCCTTAAATAAAGGTACTCTGTAACTGTTATCCAAATCTTCTAACTAAACACTTAAACAACGATAATGATTTGATTATTGAATACATTTCAAATCAAAAAAAAAAAAAAAATTAATTAATTAAAAAAAAAAAAAAAAAAAAAAGCATTTGTCAAACATGTTGGAAGTCGGTAAGGAATCGAGGACGAGACAGAAGCATCTAAAATCATGAAAATCATTAATAATACAAGCTAGCTGGATATTTAACACATGAGGATCGTGGACTCATGGTGTTATAACAGTAGATAAGGTTTGAGTGGTTAATCAGGTTGGTAGGTCCCTTGATAAGGTTTTAATGGTCATTTACTATATCCATGTCGGCAGTCATTTAAATATTATAGTTTTCAGATGGGTACCAAAATTACGGGCAGTAGCTCCACAAAAAGCATCATAAATAATGCACCTAAATTCATATTTATATTGAAGTAATACTAATTTCTAAATATTGTGTTTTCTCTGTCTTTATATCAAAAAAAAAAAAAAAAAAATGGCAATTGGTAACAAGAAAAATCTTTTGGCCATCTTTGCCATTCTTGCATTATTAGGTAATTACAATACTATTTTTTTTCTTTAATCATAATTATATCACCCAAAGATCAATAATTATGTTAATCTACAGGCAGGTTTATTAAAGCAAATCAAAATCCGTCAAAATTGTAATTTAATAAATAAAATGTTAAACTTGTTTACTTCTAAAGGAAATCAGGAATCATCATTTTCTATTTTTATGTAATTGAACATTATTTCTTTTGGCCATTTAATTAGTAGACTAAATGTAATTCATATTTTCATTTTTGTAGTGCAACTAATATCCGCTGAAAGGACTTTGGAGGGAAAACTACAATGTAGAGTTATCGGGAAAGAGTGTGGACTAGTCCATCATTGTTGTAATGGCGGCAAATGTTCTGATAAAGGAACATGCATATATGGTAAGTTATTACTCTTTTAGTCTTTTGACTGTAAATTCTCAAACATGAATGCTTGCTTGCATGACGATTGAATGCTTGTTTTAGACATTTATAAAGATAAATAATCATGGATACCTATGTTTTTGTAATCTGAAGAATATTGTTTAATTTAGATGAATGAGTATTGTTGAACTCTACTTCATGTATGTAATTATGTTGTAGGGTAAAAGAGAGAATTCCCTATGTCATAAAAGGAATAAACAGAAAGTTATAAAATTAGTGAAGAAAACATTTAAACAGAAGTGTATAATATCGGATTACAAAATATATGCTGATTAAATATGTTTCATTAAAACTGTTGACAGATCCTAGCAGTAGTTGCAAGGGTGTAGGAGAAAGTTGTGGGCTGTTCGATGACTCTTGCTGTGATACATTAGTGTGTTCATCCACTTTTTCTCAAGGCAAATGTGAGCTGCCAGAAGACAAGATGCAGGAAATTCCCCACATTGTTATGGGTCGTTTGTTCAACACTATTTGAGCATATATATTATGTTTAATTTGTTGCTTTAATTTTTGAAAATTAATTACATGTTTTCTTCATTATGTTAAAATGGTGTATAATTGGTCCTTGATCAAAGTTTTGTTGATTTTGTAATAATAAAAGGTTACTTCATACTTTTATCTTGAATTCTTGATACTAAACTAAAATAAGAACATAAAAGGATATCTTAAAGTCTTCATACATGAGTTGTATCATTGCCAAAGGATTAAAAGGAAAAAAAAAAAAACCCCTTAAATATCGGACTAATAATATAATTCTCGTATTTGTTAATATTATGTAATGATCCGAGGCAACACGGAGGTTAAAATACTAATTTGTTTAGTAATTGAACGCCAACTTCTCCTAATTCTTTGGTCTCCTGATGCGAAAAAAATGAGTAACACATTACACATGTATTATCATCTTTGATAGATCGATTTCAAGCACAGTGAGTAATGAAGGATGCTGATAAACCTATGAGCAACAACTCAGCGATATAAACAAAGGAGAATTAAAGATTACTTTGACCACCACGAACATGATTTTTTATTCTTTTATATTGTAAGTATGTTGGAGTTTAATAAATCGACACTTCTTACACGTTAGTCAATCCACTTATAAGGGTTAACACTTATTTTAGTGGAGGAAAAGGCAAGAAAATCCCCCACTTTCAAAATGTTAGATGACATGGCTCAAATTTGTGAACACAAGGTCACATATACTATGTATATGAGCTCTCCACCAAATATGACTGGTATCAACTAAATTTCTAATGAGCTCTCCACCAAATATGATTGGTATCATACCAAATATGACTGTTTAATCTTATGTACAAATATACAAACAATAATCAAATACATTTAATGAATATAAGTAAAAAATGAGATGCTCGAGAAACAGAGGGATTGAGGGATAAAGGTGTCAATTCAGATGTTCGGATCGGATTCGGTAAAATCGGGTCAAGTCTATTTTTAACTACTATGAGCCATCCTAAATTATATGTGTCTACTTGATTCAAAATCTGAATCGAATTTTTTCGAGTTGGTTTTGAGTCGGATTGAATGTAGTTTTGATATCTCTACAGGTATAAGTTTATAGGGTCTGGCCCAAAAAGAAAAATAAGGCCCATATTTTTTGTTTAGCATTCATTTTTCCTTGGTAGCACCACTCAACTAGTTCATCTTCATCTCCTTCGTCGCTTTGTAATTTCAAACCCAAAATGGAAAACCTTGAAAAGTCCAACAATGGTGGCAGTGACAGATGCACTAGGTTGAAGAACAACCACAGTAACAATGGCGACGATCGACTCAGCTCACTCCCCGATGCCATCCTCATTAACATTCTCTCTCTCCTCTCAATCGATTCCGCCGCCGCCACGTCCGTCTTATCCCGCCGATGGCGCCACCTCTGGACCGAAATCACCGACCTTGAATTCTCTTCGGAGTCCTCCGCCTTTGTCGACTGCGTTTTTGGGCAGCTCACTTCTCCGAAACTCAGCTCTTTCACGGTTATAATTAAATTAGTTGCATACAACTGGGAATCAATCTTTGCTCATCTTTGTCATCGGAATGTGGAAGAAATTAAGGTTTGTGCTGAAGTTTTTTTTCCTGCACCTTTATATGTACCTGCTTCTCTATTTTGTTGCCAATCTTTGGTGAAATTGGAGTTGTTTTGCATTGATCTTGATTGTACATTTACCGCGAATGATGTTGTTAATCTTCCTAATTTGAAGAAGCTTGGATTGCATCTTCAGGATGAGGCCCGTGATTTGATGAAAACCCTGTTTAAATCTTGTCCAATGTTGGAAGATTTATATTTGTTGTTTGATTTTTATGAGGATGAGCATTTTGTTGATATTGCTGCTCCCAATTTGAAGACCTTGTTTATAGAAATAACGTCTGAAAGGGAAACATCACTTGATAAAGTCATGATAAATGCGCCCAAATTAGAGAACCTTACGATACTTGGATCGTATTGCTTTTATTGTTTCGTTGAGAATCCTACTAGGTTAGTCAAAGCATCCATTGATCTGTGTCTTGGACCGGATAGAAACAATGTGGGTATGCAGGGAAAAGAATGTTGTAACGAGATATCGAAGTTTATTAAAGGGATGTCTAGTGTTAGCCACCTTAAGCTACATAGTTTTGTCAATCTATTTACTTACTTTATTTCTGTAGGTAATGGGGTTATGCCAATGTTTCATAACTTTGTCTATTTGGACACAAACCTTGGTAATCTTATTGGCTGGAAGGATTTGCTACTTTCTTTACAGTATATTCCCAACTTAAAGCATCTTGATGTGAGTAAAATATGGTTTGAATCGGTGGAGCAAATGGATTGGTTTGCACCTGAGTTTGTTCCGGAATGTTTACTAAGTAAGCTTAAGATAATAAAGATTAAAGTGCTTATAGAAAATGACAAGGAGCTTAAGTTGCTAGAGTTTATTCTAAATAATGCAATTGTTTTGGAAGAGCTTCACATACACTGTAAACACTACCATACACGTAAAGAATCTCAACTATGGAATGAATACAAGTTTTGTGAAGCCTTGTTCAAGCTTTCAAAGAGCTCCTCAACTTGCAAAGTTCTGTTTGAAGGTGACTTTATCAATGCATCAAGAAATGACTTCAAAAATGGGGTACTTGCTTGTCAAGTTCCCTATGTTGAATGAAATTGTGCACTGACTTCTTCTGGTGCCAAAGACCAATAGTGAAGCATCTGGGCAGCAGGTATTGATAATCAATTTCTTTGGATGTATCTGATTTCTGAAGTCCTGTGTGTGTGTGTCTGTGTTGTGTTTCATCATATAAACACCTTGTTAAGTATCAGTCACTACTATTACATGTTAAATTGTTCCATTTGTAAATATGGTTTTTGCTTTTGATTTTGGTGTATCCATCATTTAATTGAATCTGGTGACCTGAAATGTGATTGTAGAAAAGACATTTTGGGAATGCATGAATCATAATTGTACAAATGACATTCTGGAATTCAAGAATCATGATTGTAGAAATAACATGTTAAGAATTTGTAGTAATGAATGATCTGTTTCAGGGAGGATTTTTATTATCTAGTCTTCGACTCTTCTACTACTATTTAAAACAGGAAATTGGTGTTGATTAATGACTTTGTAGAAAGCCTATATATGGAGTATAATTCTTGAAGAGAAGAGCTTCTATATGACTGATTTTATGGCATATATTGGCTTAAACACAAGTGTAAGCAGCATTTTATGTGTCTTATCAGTGAGACAATTTAAAATTTCACCTTTTTTTTTTGGTTAAATTTTTTAAATGAAACTAAGGTCTTTGTTGGGCAAATTGGAATAAAGTGCCTATGTAAATGAGAGGCAAAAGAAAAGACATGGGAGGATGCATACTTTTGATGGATATGAAGTTGGTTAATTTATTTTTTTGCTGTTTGCTTCAAGTTATTTGATGAAATCATATAATAGGCAAGGTGGGAGAGATTAATTGGAGAGAGATCAAGGGTGATAGCTCTGATGGTGTTGGGGGAGGATATAGGAAATAGTTGGGTGAAAGAAAATATAGAAGGGGGTGGGGTGGGGGAGGGAGTGAAGGAATTTTGACAATAGGTGGCTCATAGAATATAATCTTTTTTAATTTTTATTTTTATGTGAATTCAGGCTCTGGTCTCCTCACCTATTTTTCATTTATTTTAAGCGTTCAATTAAGATCGATAAGGGCGATTAATTGAAGAAGGCGGGGATGGGCTCTTCTTGTAACTTGAAGAACTCTGAATATGACTGAAGAATTTATTTATTTATTTCATCGGTATTTTTTAACAGATAGGCTCTTTTCAGAGTATAAAAGTAATATGTAACTGATATCATTGATTTAACGACTATTGGTAAGTGGAAGCTGTCCTTGTTTTGGTGGAATTACAAACTAAAACAGCTTTTAACTGAAAGAGGAAAGTTCCTATTTCTTCTTAGTAGAGCTAAAGAGTATCTCTGTTTGTGGGAAGTGTTAAAAGGTATACTGGTATGGACTTATGGAATATTAGTCTTAGGTAGTGTTTCGGGTAAAAACAATGAAACCTTCGGCAAGGTCCTTTTCTGTGGGCTGAAGGCTGATCTTGGTCCAAGTGATGACTGGGCCGAGGGTTTCCTACAAGAGTATTAATTGCTTGAGGCTTGAATTGAATGAATGTAGAGAGAGGATAATGAAGGCTTTTATACCTTACTCAATAGGTAAATGGGCTTTGAAGTTAAACGGGCTTATACCTTACTCAATAGGTAAATGGGCTTTGAAGTCAAACGGGCTTGCCATGTTGACCGGGCCTTTGACTGACTTGGCATTTGTTTGGAGAGTTGAACCTTAGCCTTGGGCTTTGTAATTAAATCATTTATGGACCGGCCCAATTGAAGTAAATTGGACCCAAACAAGTAGTAAAGTAGAAAGTGTTTGATAGATATGAGGGAAAAGAATCTGTCTACAGGCATCCCAGCTGCATTTGCCTGAATTATGAGCTTCATGCTCCACACTGAAGATTTGATGCACATGTTTTACAAAGTTTGAGCTGCAGGTAAAACGAGTGTTGATGCTTGTAGGTTGGTCTCAAGAGGGTTTATTGAAATTTTAATTTCTTGGAATTAATACAACTTTGACTCATGAGGATTCTATGGAAATGGTCAGTGGTGGTAGGATATGACATCTTAGGCTTGCTCCTCATGGATAGTCTTTTCTTGAACACCATTGTACATTTGCATATCTGATCAGATTAAAAATAAGTAAACACTTTACTTCCTATCATGTCGTGTTGAAAGTGATATATTAAAAATCTGGATGAAGCTAATTGAGCCTGTGTTCAATTTTAATTAAACTTGCTCTTTGATGGTTAATTTGGAATAGATAGATAGTTAGGATTCCACTTGATCTGATCTGCTAACAGGGTTAGGGGAGGAGGTGTGAGGCAGAACCGCAGAAGAAAGAATATCATCCTAACAAAGGGTATTGGAAGGGGAGAGTAGTGACTAGAGAATAGCTTCGGGTACTTGTTTATCTAAAGATTATGTTATAAGCTAAAGCTCGTATCAGTTCCTAACTCATTTCAAGTCAAAGAAAAAGGGTTTATTTATTTATTTATTTTTTAAAAGAAAAAAAATAAATAAATAAAATGATATAAAATAATACTAAGACAAAGGCAAAGGCAAAGGCAAAGGATCAAAGTGATAATAATCTGTTTGCTACTTCTCTTAATGCAATTATGCCTGCTACAGCTATACCTTAAATTACCCGAAATATTTGCTATTTATGGCACAGTCAATGATTTTTATTTCAGAATCCACTGAAATGTATATTCCCTGAGTTGATGTTTCAATCTTACTCTGATCCCACTTGAAAAATATAATTTTGAATGTTTGGCTTATTTGACATTTGCTGCTGCTTGTTCAATAGAGATTTTATTTTCATAAACGAGTATGCTAGAGATATACCAATCAAAAGAGGAAAAGTTAAGGCAGAAAACATAGTTTAACAAAAATAAAACAGGTATGGAGAAAATTACTAACCTTAGACAAACCAAGAAAACAGAGAAATAAATTAGAAAGAAATCAGTTGTTATCAGGATAAGGAGAGGGGTCATGGTCTGGAGTTGGTTGATCAAAGATGTTTTTTGAGGTTTACAATATTAGGGGAGAGGGCTAATAGTGAGTTAAGTTATAATAAAGTTGTTAATAGCTTGAAGGAGAACTTAGTTTGTTTGTTAGGGAAAAGCTCTATAATAAATAGAGTTAATGAGAGAGAGATAATCATGTTGAGTTTTTTTTTTTTTTTTTTTTTTTTTTTTTTTTGAGGGAATTATGTTGAGTATTTTGATGAGTAATTAGTTGTAGTTTTGGGAGAGTGCCCTTCCCCTCGAAAGATTGGCAAAGGCTGTAATTGGTGATTAGTTGATTACATTGGTTAATATTAACGCATATATATCTCTGATTGTTCTTCCTATATCTTTCTTCTTCCTCCCTTCATTTCTGTCCTTAATTTATGTTTGGTCACTTATCTGAGCTGATTGGTATGATATTCCCCAGCAGGGCAAAAGAATATTGAGATAATAGCATCTGTTTGTTGCAGAAATTCTCCCAGCTGCCTGATGTCAAGGATCCAAGGTGGATTTAATTGAGTTGCCTTTTTGTAATGCTGCTTACTGACTAGATTTACCTGGTTTAGAAGCTTCAAACTGTCAGAGCTAATTTGATGTTTGGTTCAGGTTTTGTTTTGTAAGTGCATGTTTTGATACATGTTATCCTTGCTTCATGCTTGTTGCTGCTATACCTTATTTTGCTAGTAAATTTTGCTATTGTTTCTCTCTACGAACTGGTTAGTGTCCACTAAGGTTTGGACCTCCTGAATCGATATTTCCATATATTCTAATTCTACTTGAAGGAACACAGTACAGAGTTGATTGCTCAAATTCTACTTGAAGGAACACAGTACAGATTTGATTGCTTGAATCCTACTTGAAGGAGCACAGTACAGATTTGATTGCTTTAATTATAGTATCAGTAGCTGATATTCACTGAATCACTGCTGCTTGTTCATTACTGATCACAAACAAATATGCTAGGGAATTAACTAATTAAAAGAGGATTATAAAAGTCAAGAGAAAGGTGAATTGCTGAAAAAAATTATGATGAATTCATCTAGAGGAGGGGTTGGCGTTGATGAAAGTATGTTGAAGCAGAGGGATTAAGAGAGGATACATATTATTGAGGGGTTTGCAACACCTAATGCCTAAGCCTCCTTGGTCTATATATGGTTTTTAGCTATCTTGTTTCAGCCTAATACTTATTAAACCTTTTGCACTCATTTCGTACAGTCCACCATTCCACATGGCTGTTAAGTTGTTAATGTGTACAGCTGAGAGCTGATGAAGTGACGAAGGAGTCCAAGGAGATCAGAACTATTCAATTAAGTGTATAACATATACAATATCCCATGTCATAAAAATCAGTAGCATGGAATTGAAGTAGGTCTTATTGCCAAGTTTCTACCAATGTACCAAGTAGAGCTGGGCACGGGCCGGGGTGGCCCGCGTGCCGCCCGGCACGGCCCGCCCTTCGACGAGGCACGGCACGGTGGCCCGCCGGCGTGCCGTGGGCCGTGCCACGGACAAGAGGTGGACTTTTCGGCACGGCACGAGCCCGCCCCTAGGCCCGCCGTGCCAGCACGCCCTATATATATATATATTTATTTATATAGTATTATAGTGTAAACATTTTATATAAAAAAATATATATATATATATATTCTTGAAACAGCCCAGCCCCCAGGCTGGCACGTGGCCGGCACGGCACGAGCCCGCCAAGCACGAGGGCCGTGCCAGGCCGTGGGCTGGCCTGTGAGAATGGCCGGCACGGCACGGCACGGGGTCTTCGGCACGGCGGCACGACCGGCACGGCACGCCGGAGCCCACGGCCCGCGGCAGCACGGCCCGGCACGCCCAGGTTTAGTACCAAGTTATCAATCATCGCTATCTTCTAATCTCAAAGGATAGGTACGAACAATATGATCAGTGGATTACAAGCTTGGTAACAATGGCTCAATCACGCATAAGTCATTCATTGATATCATGCTTCCTAGTTCCTATACATTCTAAATAAAATGTATATACAAATATAACAGTTGATTTCAGATCATTATCCGAGTCAGTTTGAGCACTTGTTTACACGAGTCAGTTTAAATGCAGATAAAAACTACCCACTTTTATCATCTGAACAGAAGGAAATTAATTGGATTTCTTCTTATCATCAGTTAGTTACAGCTTCTGCACTGTCATAGAGTCATGCAAGTTATGAGAACTCATCAGTTTAACGAGTCCTGATTCCTGAACTTATTTGCGAGCTGCATAATATCAAGGGCTAAACAGATAATTCTTAAACGGTCACTTTCTTTCGTCAAATTTATATAATTCTTCTACCAAAATTCGACATATAGGCTGTAACAAATGTAAATGTACACAGGCTTAGTTTAACAAGTAGTTATATACTTATATCTCCGATACCTTTATTGTTATAATACAGATTACAAAATACTAACAAACAATATTATATTGTAGAAATCCCCTGAAACAAAAGATGTAAAACTTTGATATCTTCTTAATTAAATTCAATAGACTACTTAGCTAGTGCAATCACTTGTTATATATAAATATATGTGCTGATTCTGGCCGCACTATCAAATTTCTTAGTAGTCAGATAGTTCAACAACATACATAAATTAGCCAATTCGGAATATAGAGCATGATGACATTTTGAGTAATATACACACTTCCCGCAATCGAGCATCTTCCTCACTGTCTCCGTCATGTAATACATAAAGCTTTTCCAAAACAAGTGCATTGCTTATTTGCTTAGAATGTACTCTAGCAACCTGAGTTCATCATCTATCGCTTTTAGTCCAGCTATTTCTAACGTCTTCAACTTACTTAAACACTCTGGTACACACCAATTCATGGGATCCATAACAAGATTTGAATCCGTATCTAGGTACACCATAAGGTGCCTTAAGTTAGGAAAGCGTTTCATAGAAAGTAGCAAATCCTTCCATCCAACATAATCCGAATTCGTTTCAAGATGTTCTAGATTAGGAAAGGTTGTCATAAGCCCGAGGTTAACAGAATTAAGGTAACAATATACATTGGTCAGCTCGTCATCCTCTAGCCATATGATAAAGCTCCTTTAACACTAGACATTTGCCCGACAAACTTGAACATGTCCCGTAGACAATCTTCTTGCCCAATTGGTAAATGTAAAGATCCCGCATTCCAAGGCATGATAATCGATGCTTTGACTAATTTCGTCGGATTTTGGATAGAGTAATAATCTGAAGTGAAGCTACTTATATAAGGTCTCCAAGTTGGGTGCATCGATGAAGATTTTTGGTCGTTGGGTGTGCTTATCTGCCATCATCTCTATTCGTAACGACCTCAGATTCGGTGCTGATATATTCAGAACAATCTGGGGTTCTATCAATTGTTTAGAAGACTTAAATAGACGCCCCATAAACTGATAAGGAGGGGTGTTAACAAGATACTTTAGATCAATCTTCCTCAAATTTGGAAGTTGAATATCTGTATTTTCTGGGGAATTAAACTTGATCATACGTTTTAATATCAAAACTACCAGATTCTTGGAATAAAACAGAGACGCGGGAATAGGAAAATAATCCTCATAATTACGGCGATCCTCTTCAACAATGATCTGCTCCACGTTTCGGCTACAAACTTCTCGGAAACATGCGTCTGCAAAGTCATATAAGTTGGATAGCGAACTTAACTGAAGTTTGAAAACATGGAGTGTCTGAGAGGTCAATTGTCAAACGATGTCAACGACAACGGTGGAGAATTTGTTTGAGGCTAGTTTGGAAACGTAAAGTCCATTCTCGAATTTGAAAGTGGTGACACCAGTCCAAAGGTAGCGCCATCGATGGGATAAGACGGAGGTGGCAACCGCGGAATTGATTTGGAGACGAGAGAGTATATTGGCCAGGATATCATCTGGAAGAGAACTTACTTTGTCTTCCTTCTCCATTCTCCTATAGCAGTGCACAATTGAGTAGGTTTATTGAAACCCTCCTAATTCTCTCCCTTGTTTCTTGTCAATTCTCCTAAATCTCTATTTCGTACTCCGTATTATATAAGCCAGGTCAGTGTTATAGGGATTACCTTGTAACACAATATCCAGTGCATCGCCTAGAGCACTCTCGAGTTGATAATTAAATTAAGATACCATTGGTCAAATAACTAATGATGTGTTTATCTTTTTTAATAAAGTTGCTCATAACTAAATTATAGAAATATAATTATGCATGAAATCCTAAAAGTGGCTCACTATGTTTCAATCAATATGATATGCCAGGAAGCAAAAGAGGCACAAGAGCATATTCCAATGGCCATAAACTGGGCTTGTTAATTGCATACTACAGATTGATCACTGATAGCAGACAAAACGATTAAAACCCCTGAGACAAAAGATCTATAACTTTGATATATATCGTCTTAATTAAATTCAATAGACTACTTTACCTTGTGCAATCACTTTTTGAAAATATATACGTAGTATTAATATATGTGCCCTTATCTCGATTCTATATATCTATGTTATGACTATCGAATTTCTTAGTACTCAGTTAATAACAACGAACATATATACATGAATTAGCCAATTTCGGATATAGAGCATGACATTTTGAGTCATATACACACCATAATAACCATGTCATCCTGAGGCACATGACTAGAATTTACTTAAAAAACTGAACTACCATTAAATTAAAGGCGATTATATAACCATAACCAAAAAGATAATACGAGTAATTAGCAAGGTTTAAAGTCATTCTAAGCATAAAACAAACTACTGCATACATCAAAAGAGAATGAAGTGATCAGAAGGCAATATGTGTCATTCATATCATAGGCTTGGATTAAAGGTAAGCGTCTGATCATCACTTGATTCTTTCAGAAGGCAAATGTAGTCTTATGACTTTTGACTACCACAATTTTTTAAAATGGACGGTTGAGATTTGTTTTTGTATTTATATTTAATTAATAATAACTTTTTTAATTATTTTAAATACATTTTTATCTATAGAAATTATTTTTTAATATTTTCGAAATTTTGAAAATAAAAAATATATATAAAATAATTAAAAAAAATAACTTTAAATTAAAATTACTAATTAAAGGTAAACTAAAAAACAAACAATCTCAGCCGTCAATTTAAAAAAAAAAAAAATTGTGGTAGTCAAAAGTCATAAGACTACATTAGAATTTATATTGATATCATAGGCTTGGATTAATGAGGAAACATTGTCTGATTCTTTCAGGTGTAAGGGTAAGCGTCTGATCATCACTTGATGTTATAAGGCCACATAAACTAAACACAATCTCACAAGTTGAAGATGCCCTGGCTAGACGGAACAAAGACTCACAGAAATTACACGTTTCCCTTAATCGAGCTTCTTCCTCAGCAGTAAAATATTCACCGCATGTTACATAAAGCTTTTCCAAAACAAGTGCATTGTGTAGAATGTACTCTAGCAACACGAGCTCATCATCAATAGCATCTAGTCCAGATATGTCTAACGTCTTCAACTTACTTAAACACTCTGGTACACACCAATTTGTGGGATCCATAACAAGATCTGAATCCGTATTTAGGTACACTTTAAGGCGCCTTAAGTTAGGAAAGCGTTTCATACAAAGTAGCAAATCCTTCCATCCAACATAATCCAAATTCGTATCAAGATGTTCTAGATTAGGAAAGGTTGTCATAAGCCCGAGGTTAACAGAATTAAGGTAACGGTA